GACAAAGCTTGATCGGATAAGGGTATAAACCGGACAAGCCTTAGGCGGTTTAGTGTCCGGATTGTCTTAAACCGGACATGCCTTGAAAGGTTTAGTGACCGGATTRKTTTAAACCGRACAAACCTTGAGCGGTTTGTTGACCGGAGTTGGTAAACCGGTTGAGTGGTGAGCGGTTTAGTCTTAAACCGGGCGAGACTTGAACGGACTGTTGACCGGATTTGATATCCGCTCAATATGGATTTTTATTCTAAGTGTTAAACCGTTCAAAGAATATTTGGGTTGTTGACCGGATTAGTTGACCGGACTTGTAAACCGGGTGGCTATTGACCGGACTTGTTATCCGGAGAATTTCTGTTGAAAATTTTATAAGTTTTTAAATATTTATTTATTTATTTATGATTCAYAAAAATGGTTATTTTATATCTTTGAAAATAAATGAAATATTCCTACCAAGCGTGGTGACATAAGTCTGTTTTGGTATAGAATGAGTTTTTGATAAATGTTCTTACCAAGCGTGGTGACGTAAGTCTGTTTTGGTATTGGAACGGGATTTTGGGAAATGTTCCTACCAAGCGTGGTGACGTAAGTCTGTTTTGGTATTGGAACGGGATTTTGGGAAACGTTTCTACCAAGCGTGGTGACGTAAGTCTGTTTTGGTACGAAACTATATTTTGAAACCTTCTTACCAAGCGTGGTGACGTAAGTCTGTTTTGGTATGGAAGTGAGTTTTAAATGGTAGTTCCCCCAGACGTGGTGACTTATGTCTGTTCTGGCTTGGAACTGGGGATGAGTACTTTCAGACATGGTGACTTATTTCTGTTCTGATAAGTAGCTCTGATTTAATGGAGGAATAAGAGTGGCATATCAAGGAGAGGTATACTTGGAATAAGGGTGGCATTGTCATATGTGGATGTTATTATTATAACTCTTACTATTATTACTTAAATTGGATTTAATAACTTTGAATCATCATTTCTTTGTGACCTKATGAATTAAAGATATTATTCCTATTTAGAAGTGATAATTTAGATGTTATTAAGAAGGGGAAAGTGGTTTGTCATATCAGGCAAGTTTTGCCTYAAATMTTTCCTGTTAAAGGAATGGTGTTTTAATTCAAAAGTTTTGATATTGGGAATGTTGGATCTCTGTCTAGAGATATTTTAAAGAAGTGAAATTTTGGATATACTTCTTTATATATGATATTGGGAACTGCATCAATTGTTATATTGCAGTATCTTTTTGAGCCAAAATTACATTATCATATTTTGGTGGTTGTCACCCTGTATTTGCAAATAGGGGATTTACTCACTAGACCCGTATGGTCTAACCCTCATTTTCTGTTTTAAATTATGCAATGCAGGAATAGCTGGGT